ACTGATTTGTGGTTTTCTGTGGCTAGAACACAGTTTTAGAGCTTCAGCAAAGAGATGGAGGTTTATGGAGGTTGGAAGAATTACAGGACAGGCCAAGTACTTGGAAGAGTTCAAAGACGGGTGTATTTCTTGAGAAGTTGTTGTGCAACACTAGAGTTGCTAGAATAGGGCACTGGCAAGACAGGCGGTTAGCGTGTCAGCACGAACTGGCTTATTCAGCTCGGCCCTGAGTCACGCTATTACTTAGGATATTATCTTGTCACGTTGTCTAGTTCCTCCATGATTCGTGCATTTCCTGACTATGTTGGGAAGTAAGGTCCATAGATGTACATTTAACACATCACTCACCTGACAGAGCTGATTTTTTACTTTTTAAAAATTATTATTTTTTTATTTGAAAGAGTTGAGAGAGTGTGTGAGTGCTTCCTCTTCTGCTGGTTCACTTCTCCAATGCTTGCAGTGGTAGCTGGGCGGGGCTGGGCTGGGGCTGGGCTGGGGCTGAATGCAAGCCAGATCTCCCGCACAGGTGGCAAGGACCAGCTACCCGAGCCATCATTGCTGTGTCCTGGTGTCTGCACTGGTAGGAAGCTGGAGTTAGGAGCCAGGTATTGAAGCCAGGTTCTCTGATGTGGGATGTAGACGTCTTACCTGTAGGCTAAACTCCCATTCCTGTACTTTTGAAGCAATGTTGTTTAACCCTTGTATTTGGCAGAGATAAGTAAACATCAGCTGGTTTGATAAACAGTTCTTACCATGTGCAAGTAGGATCAACAGAAGTTTCTAAACTAGATATAACTTGAGTGCTTTTGGAGGAAGACAGTTCATCTTCTGTCTTATTTCTTCTTGAAGATACGACACTACCTATCTTACATATCAGGCATCTGAAGGATATGAGATGAATGAAAATGAGAGCCACATCGTTAAAGCTTTCCATGATGTGAGCAGCTTGGGTTCTCTATGGCACACTCTGGGCCATACAATTTTCATCGTGCTGTCTTCAGGATTATCTGAAAGTTTTGCTTAGATTGTATGCACTCTCCTCGTCTTTTTATTTTTTGAAAGATGTATTTATTTATTTGAGAGGCAGAATTACAGAGAGAGATGGAGGGAGTGAAAGAGAGAGAGAGAGAGAGCGAGAGTGAGAGCGAGCAAGCAAGTTTCCATCCACGGTTCACTCCCCAAATGGCTGCAATGACCAGAGCTGGGCCAGGTCAAAGCCAGGAGCCAGGAGCTTCTTCCCAGTCTCCCATGTGAGTGCAGGGGCCCAAGCCCTTGAGCCATCTCGATGCATTCGCTCAGAAATGGAGCAGCCGGAACTGGAACTGGTGCCCATGTGGGACGCTGGCTTTGCAGATGGCGGCCTTACCCACTGCACCACAGTGCCAGCCCCTCCATGTCTTCTTACTCTGTTTGCCTGGAGCTTGGTCTATGAAAGCACAGGGGCCCAGGTGTTGATCTTGGTTCAGGTCTCAGCCCTCTCCTTTCCTTGCTGTGTGATTGTGAGAATGATTCATGGCCTTTCCAAGCCTCATGTGTCTCCTCTGAGAAGTGAGATAACAGGACCAGCATTAGTGCTACTTGAAATGATTGCTCCAGGGCTAGACGTCCGGGGGCATCCAGTAAACTCCACACTGCTCTCCCTTTTCTGTTGGCAGTGATGCTGTGTATCATACTGGTTTTGCTGATTTTATCTATTTCCAAATTTATTTCTCTACTAGAACAAGCCTGTGTTCACCTTTTTGGCAACTCTGTATTCTCAATGTTGGTCATATTTTAAGGCTCTATTGCATAATGACTTACCTTGGCCAAAATGAGTAGAACCCTAGCACATAGTGTGCATGCTTAAGAATAGAATCTCACTTTGCTTTTCTTGTACTTTGGTTCTCATGCTGTTTATGTGTCCATCTGTCTACCTCTCAACTAGAGCAAGAGCATGTGAATTATAAATACATAAAAGGAGAAGGAAAAACAAAAGTAGGAGTGGCTACAAAGTGATGCCAAGAATAAGTTCAGTAAAAACAGTGCACTGTGGAATCCTGTAATTTTCTCAGCACTCTATCAACCATCACGAAAAAGGAAAGGCATTCCTACATACGTACACCTCTCTTCTGGGCTGTTCATTTCAACTCAGGGTGTGGTAAACAACAGGTCTTTTTCTCCACCTAAAACTGGATCTAAGGGCCACACCACTAGGGCAGGAATGTGATTCTGTATTGAGTGCCCTGCCAAGATAGCGTAAGACTTACTATCTCTTTGTTAATGAAAATAATCTCACTGGGGGAAGAACATGGGAAAGTTCCACAGTTCTAAACAATTAAAAACTAAAGTGATGGAAACTATCATTTGAAGGCTAATACACAAAAGCATACACATTAACAAATCAAGTTCATGGAAGTCGGTGCCAAACCTGCATCATCACTTAGTGAGGCACCCTTCCGAGCTGGTGACTTGCCCAGCGTCCCTGAGCTGAGAGGGAACAATGTTGTAGGGTTTGCTGCCACAGGATGTGGATGGAGCAGCCGGCTCTCCCCTTCCCACTGCACAAGGCCTGGGTCTGGTGATCTGTGGTTCATTACTGTTACCATTATGGAGAGCATGATTTTCCATGAAAGTGCTCAAGAGTCGTCTTGCATGTTGGTGAAACTAGAAAGTATATTTACAGACTAAAGCTCCCTGCAGGCAGGGGCTGGCTCAGGCTTATTGTTACGCCTCTGGTTCTCTATTCAGGAGTGGGGAACCTGTCGCTCCCCCTCTTCGTGGAGGAACGACACTAAACCCTGCGCTGTTCTTTTGTCTGCTCGGCCCTTCCCGGGTTTGCTGCTGGTCCTTCCCGGGTTGGCTGCCGACCCCTCCACCTCCGTGGAGGGGCAGCTCCCCCTGCCACTTTCCCCGCTTGCGTGGAGGAGTGGCACACCGCCGGCCGGCTCTCTCGGGGGCTGCTCAGATGTTCCTTCAGATAGATGTTCCTGGTGCATGTTGTCTCTCTCCTCCTTTATAGTCCTCTTCCACCAATCCCAACTCTGCTACCCACACGCCGAGTACGCTGCTCTCCTCCAATCAGAAGCAGGATCAGCTCCTGCAGCTTATCAGTCAAACTGGCGAGAGGCAGCTGCGTAGAGGTTGTTTGGTCTCTTTCTCTCAGCGCCATATTGTGGAGGGCAGATGCATAGAATAAGTCTTAATTCCAGTAACTTAGTCTAGTCTCAGTTGCTCCCCACAGGAACCTTTTTTCCACCAAGGGCCATTTGGATATTTGTATCATTCACAGGCCGCACAAAATGACAAACAGTAACAGTTAGCCTGCTTACAGATTGAGTGAATTTCCAGCCCCCGCTGCGGTTGCCTTAGCACGGCCAGACCCAGTGATTCTGCGGGCCCATGGTCCAGAGGTTCCCCGTCTCTGCAGTGGATGCTCAATAAATATCTTTCGAGTAAAAGAAAATATATTGAAGACCACCTAAAATGAAAGTTTCTCTTGGGGCTGGCTCTGTGGCGTAGCCAGTAAAGCCTCCGCCTGCAGTGCCGGCATTCCAAATGGGCACTGGTTCGAGTCCCAGCTGCTCCACTTCTGATCCAGCTCTCTGCTTTGGCCTGGGAAAGCGGTAGAAGATGGCCCAAGTCCTTAGGCCCCGCACCCACGTGGAAGACCCAGAAGAAGCTCTTGGCTTCAGATTGGTGCAGCTCTGGCTGTTGTGGCCAACTAGGGAATGAACCAGTAGATGGAAGACCTCTCTCTTTTTCTCTCTCTCTGCCTCTCATCTCTCTGTGTAACTGTGACTTTCAAGTAAATAAATAAAAACTAAAAAAAAATTCTTTTGAAATAATTTCCTTAATTTCTCAAAATAAAAATAAAAGGTCCCCCTTCTGAATTTAAACTGCAGTGTGTAAAATGACCACATCAGACTTTTGACAGAACTAAGGCCAAGCTGTGTTGCTGGAAATTGAGCATCTTTGTGAGGTTTTTTTTATTATTCTTCTCCTCCTCCTTCTTCTTTTTTTTTTTTTAAAGATTTATTTATTTGTTTGAAAGAGTTACATAGCGAGGGAGAGACACAGACAGGGATTTTCTGTCTGCTGGTTCACTCCCTAGATGGCTGAAAGAGCCAGGACTGGGCCAGGCCAAAGCCAGGAGCCAGGTGCTTCTTCTAGGTCTCCCACGAAGGTGGCAGGGGCCTAAGCACTTGGACCATCTACTGCTGCTTTTCCCCCAGGCAGATTAGCAAGGAGCTGGATTGGAAGTGGAGCAACTGAGACACAAACTGGTACCCATGTGGGATGCTGGCATTGCAGGTAGCAACTTTACCCACTATGCCACAACGCTGGCCCCTCTGTTTTCTTAATGGGCATGCTGTTAAGAGAAGATTTGGTTACACCTTACACCTTGTGCTCATTTAGCATCCTTTCTTGGAGACATCAAAAGACTTTCAAAATCTGCCCCCTCTTTACACTTGTGTAGGTCACATTTCTAAAGCTTCCCTTCCCCCTGCTGCCTGAGTACCTGACCTGTTCTTGGGACTGACTGGTGACATGGTGATGTCTTGCCTTTTAGTCTTCAGAATGGTAATTAAGTTCCTTGAGTAAGCAAAACCTATTGTGTATTCAGTTTCTTATGTTCCATACTGGACTAGGAATTAGGGCTATTGCTGTAGTCCAAGTTGTATTATTAACTAAATGCGTGATTCTAGTTCCTTCTTGTGTCTTACCCTCATTTTTCCTTTTGCAAATGAATAAAGTTGAACTGGGTTGTTTGCCGCTGTTATTCTGTCTACTCATGGTATATAAACTGTATATTGTAGTTTCAGTTGTAGATCAGGCATTCCCTTTCCTGTTGAATGATGGCACACAGAGTTGGTTTCCCACTTTTGAAACTATATCTACATAACATCATTTAAGTCATGGTGTTTACATGTCATATCTTCCTTCTGGGTCTCTGGCCGATGGTACGTCACTCCCAGGTGCTAATCTTCCAGGCTAAATGTGGGTTTTCCTGTTCCTTCCAGGTGCACACTTTCTCCTAGCATGACTACCATCTGATCAGCAGGCACAAGAATTGGACACCCCTGTCTGACACTGGAGTGCTGGGCCAACCACCGCCCTCTGGAGAGCAGCCATGGCTGCTGCCTCTACTTCCACCCCTGTAATTTCACAGCCCCAGGTAAGGATTCAAACTCACGTAGATTTGAGCTGATCACAGTTCTGTCAGATACTTAAGTGGAGTTTCAGCAAGTGTGTTCGACTCCAGGGATCATGTATTTCGCTCTCATTGTCATCTGGGTGGGTATTTGGACAATGGTGCTTTTGTGAGTGAGGTGCCATTTAGTTCAGGAAGCAGCTGGAACAATGGACAAGTGATTTTAGTGAACTGGCCTCTGTGCATAGGCGGCCTTGGTTTTTAGGGCGTAGCACGCCTGGCTGTTGCTGTAGGCAGCCAGCTCCAAATCAAGATAAGTCAGTAGTAAATCCTGCTGCTTTTCCTCTCTTCTCTGCTTTTGGGTTTAATGAAATACTCAGAATGGATCTAAGAACAAATTTGCCAAACTTGTTGTCCTCTTCCTATAATTATTATTTTTCTTGAACCTGTTCTAGGAACTTTGAAAACAAAATGTGATTCCAGAAACTTCTGAATAGAGTCATATGAGGTGGTATTTCTGTCCGGTGAAGAGAAGTGAGATGGCAGGGACATTGTGTTTTTGCATTATTTTACAACCTGGTCCAGTTGAATCTTCCCTGGACTCTTGAGTTTCAGCAGGTAGCATGGTCCAGTGGGGGAACAGACTTTGGGGTCATCGAGCTTCCAATCACATCCCTGGTCCTCTGATTATGGGAGAAGAACCTTCTGGCCGGTGCCACGGCTCAATAGGCTAATCCTCCGCCTAGCGGCACCGGCACACCAAGTTCTAGTCCCGGTCGGGGTGCTGGATTCTGTCCCGGTTGCCCCTCTTCCAGGCCAGCTCTCTGCTATGGCCCAGGAGTGCAGTGGAGGATGGCCCAAGTGCTTGGGCCCTGCACCCCATGGGAGACCAGGAGAAGTACCTGGCTCCTGCCATCGGATCAGCGCGATGCGCCGGCCGCGGCAGCCACTGGAGGGTGAACCAACAGCAAAGGAAGACCTTTCTCTCTGTCTCTCTCTCTCACTGCCCACTCTGCCTGTAAAAAAAAAAAAAAAAAAGAAAGAAAAAGAAGAAGAACCTTCCTCGTGCTAACCTCTGTCAGCTTCAGTTCCTCTCCTGTGATCCTCCCTCACATTGTGGTGTGTAGATTAAATGATATAATACATGGACAGCACACATTGTGGGTCAACAAGGATAGTTTCTCATTTGTTCTTCCTTTCTCTTCACTCTTTCTTGAGGGTGACCTCTCTCCATGACAGTCATTTTTAGGCCAAGGCTAACGTACAAAGTACTAGAGTACTTGAAAAGGTTTGCGAAAAATTATAATTAGATGATAAGCTTATGGGAGCCAGCATTTTTATGTAGTAGGTTAACCTGACACCATATCCAAGCACTGGTTCAAGTCCCATCTGCTCTGCTTCTGATCCAGCTCCCTGCTAATGTGCCTAAGAAGGCAGCAGAAGATGACCTAAATACTCTCTGCCGTACACGTGGGAGATCTAGGTGGAGTCCCAGACTCCTGGCTGTGGCCTGGCCCCGCCCTGACTGTTGTGGCCATTTGGGGAATGAACCAGCAGGTGGAAAAACTCTTTGTCTTTCTCTCCCTCTCTTGCTGAAGTCTGCCTTTCATAGAAATAAAACCTAAAAAAAAAAAAAGAGAGAGAGAGAGATAAACTTATTTTGGTACAAAAATTTGAAATCTGTGCATTTTTTATTGGAATATACATTTTGCTTGGACTTTATTGAAGACTCCTGTTAAACCTTTGAGGAAGAGCTGTACTCATTAATGTTTGAGTCTTAAAGATGTAGAACGATGCTCCACATTTTTGTTCTTCTGTTTAATTTTGTAGGCTATTAAATTCTATATGTATTTCAAGTAGTGCCTGTGTTTGTGAGAGAAGCAGAGAAGAAAGAAGGAGAAAGTAGTATTTAAAAATGTGTACTTTTTATTTATTTTTGTCTGCTTGAAAGAGTAAGAGCGAGGGAGGTCTTTTGTCTGCTGGTTCACTCTGCAGTGCCCACAGCAGTCAGGGATGGGCCAGGCCAGAATTAGGAGCCCAGGAACCCATCCAGGTATCTCACACTGGGGACAAGGATGCAACCACGTGGGCCAGTCTGCTGGCTTCCAGGATGCTGAGCAGGGAACTGGACCAGAAGTGGAGGGGTTGGAACTTGCACCAGAATGCAGATATGGGATGCAGCAAACCTGCTGCACCACAATACCTGCTCCGAAGAGGGGTCTTTTTGCTTCATTTGTTGTACGTGATTTTTTTTTTTTCTGCCTCCTAAAAGACTTGAGGATTTTATCATATGGGTAACGTCACAGTTCTTTAGTGTTCTTTTCCAGGATGTCTAGTGTTACCTCCATCATGTGTATTTCGCTGTTGATGAAGGGATCGTTGCCTCCTGAACAGTTCATTGACTTTGGGCGTTTGGTTTCCCTCAGCCCCAGTAGTTATTTTATTGGTTGGTTGGTTGGTTGGTTGGTTTTTGGTGCCTGAGACACTTAGCGGATGGGTAGAGAGATTTAGTGTCTGTTACCTGAGGTCACCGCTTTCCAAGTCCAGTTTCCAAGTTCCCAGGTACTGACTATTCTGGTTCAAGTACAGAACTTCCCAAATTATCCAAGGAAGTGAGTTAGGCCCCGGGACAGGTTTTCTGCAACAGCATTTTGGCACGCCAGCATCACTGCTGTCATTTATCAGCAGGTGCAACAGTGTCCTCTCATCTCCTAATCTTCCTTGTTAGAAGAGCTCCTATCAGCTGGTGAGTAATGGAAGTACTTTCATGTGATTCATTTAATGACAATGCTTAACGCCGCCCGAAGGAGCAAGAGGTCATGTTTAATAGACGGGGTGATTTGGCACCATTATAATTACATACCTTTGCACCAACTCTGTTGCTGACTTGGTACCTCTATTTGAATATCACTCAAACGTGAGCCCAAGGAGGGGCATGTGAAGATAGTCCTGAAGAGGTTGTTCAAGGACGGAACTTTCTGATACCCAACAATGGAAAGGTGGTAAACTCAGGCACATGGATTTGATCGAAATACCAGGCAGCAGTTGAAACAGTGAGGATATCAACCCAGCTCTATTGCTCCAAGATATCTTATGGAGGCAAAGCAAAACAAGATGTGGAATTATACTTACAGGAAGATATCGTTAAAACTGTAAAACAAGACCATGTGTTTTTAGGGATAGACATATGGCATGCTAATGAAAATGCCATAGTGAAAGATCTGTAGCACCCATTCCTAATGGAATAATGTTGCCCACGAGAGGGCCAGATTTGGATGTAGGGAGATGAAAAAACCCTCCAAAGCTTAACCTATTGAACAAAATCATTTTCTTTAGTAAGTAATTCATTTTGTGAAGGAGAATTTAAATTTAATTAAAAATTTCTCCTTGATGGTCAATACTGCAAAAAAAAAAAAAAAAAAAAAAAGACACTGGTGTTTTGAAAGATGCCCAAGGCCTCTGCAGTCACTCTGCCTGAGTTAAAATCTTGGCTCCAACAAGATTTGAGTGAATGCAAGGGGAAGGTATTCACCTTCTCAGTGCTTCTGTGCCCTTACCTGCAAAACAGGGATTGTGATGTTGAAGCCAACCTCCCAAGGTTGTTTTAAGCATGAAATGAGATAATACATGTAAAGCTTAGATTAGTTTGGGGCCAGTGCTGTGGCATAGCAGGTCAGGCTACAGCCTGTGATGCTGGCATCCCTGTGGGCGCCTGTTCTACTCTGGGCTGCTTCCCTTCTGATCCAACTCTCTGCTAATGGTCTGGAAAAGCAGTAGAAGATGGCCCAAGTCCTTGGGCCCCTGCCACCCATGCGGAAGACCTGGAGGAAGCTCCTAGCTCCTGGTTTCACTCTGACTCACCCCCGGCCATTGTGGCTATCCGGGGAGTGAACCAGCAGATGGAATATCTCACTTCTCTCTTTCTCTCTCTACCTCTTCTCTCTCTCATTTTCTCTCATACTGGCTGGCATGTGTTGCCCATCTGTGTTCAGCATGCACCATAGCAGAGCTGGGGACCCCAGAATAACTAAGATAAATAAGACTTTCCACTTGATAGTTTAGAAACATAATAGGAGATACACAGATAAGGAAACAGTTATGCCACTGTGTTACAAGTGCCGTGAACAGGGTCCCAGGAGTAAAGCCAGAGCACCCAGATAAAACTAAGTATCAGGGAAGGTTCCTGGAGGAAGAGCACGAGGCTGGGAGTTAATGAGTGAGTAGGGGTTACTTTGGGAGAATGTCAGATGTCCCAAAGAGAGCCCAGCGTGGAGTAGCGAGTGTGCTGGGGTTGCCGTGTAGCAGGGGATGGGGTTGTAGTCGGGGACATCTCTAGAGCCAGTGTCATCAGCTCAGAGGACAGATTGGAGTTTCAGGAATTTTGTGTCATTTGACTTTCATGCTGGTAGCTTGAAGTTGGCCACATAGAGTATTTTACACTACAGAAATTAACAAATGCTAACAATCAGTGTAGGTGAGTTAGGTTAGAAACCTCACAGGGCTGTGCAAAGCACATTAGGGAATTTAACATTGATCTTAAAGAAGCCTGTGTAGCAGCCAGGATTGTGAAACAGTGGATTAAGCCTCCATCTGTGATGTCAGCATTTCATATGGGCGCTGGTTCAAGACCCAGTTACTCTACTTCTGATTCAGCTCCCTGCTTGTGGCTTGGGAAAGCAGTGGAAGATGGCCCAAGTGCCTGGGCCCCTGCACCTGTGTGGGAGACCCGGAAGAAGCTCCTGGCTCCTGGCTTTGATCTGGCCCAGCCCTGGCTGTTGTGGCCCTTTGGGGAGTGAACCAGCGGATGGAAGAGCTCTTTCTGTCTGTCTTCCTCTCTGTAACTCTGTCTTTCAAAAAAAGAAAAAAGAAAGAAAAAAAAGGAGCCAATGCAGTTAACTTAATGGTTACTCATGCCTTGGAGCTTAGACTTGAGTTCAGTTCCTGACTCTTGACAATTCTATTGAGCAAGTTTTTGCTTACTGTCAACCAGGGTAGTTGTGTCCCATTATTCTATGTATGCAGAG